CCGTATCAACTCGAGGTGATCAGTAGGTATTCTTTGTATGAAACTCCATACTACAACGCACACTAATCCGCACCGTAACGTAAACGCGTCGCTTCGCAATTGACAGCTCGCGAAAGGCGATACGATGTTGATCCCTTTCCGAGTTGATAAGTCTGCTATGACCTGACTTCGTGGATGTCGTAAAATATAATTTAAGAACAAATATGTAAAGATTCAATCTCCCCAACCCGTCTAGCCAGCTGGGGGAGTGTAGACTTAATCCTTCTATTGCATCTGGTCCGTCCACCTACAAGGTGGACCGACGACATTGTAAAGGTAGCAGGGAAGCGCTGGACGCAGGCCGCTACCAATCGATCAATGTGGAAAGCATTGGGAGAGGCCTATGTTCAGCAGTGGACGTCCTATGGCTGAAATGATGATGATTGTATCTGGTGATATTAGAGAGAGGGTCGTGCTCTGATGATGTAGGCATCTCTCAAATCTTACAAAGATCGATAATATCGTGTTAGATTTATGTACTCTCCAAATTACAGCTGTATTTAGATTGTTTATGTAGATTGTTTGTAACCAATATATTCACGATAAGGTGGTGTCACTGTACATTAAAAGTGGACCAAGCACTCTAGTTAATTTGAGTAAACATAAATATTTGATTGCAATAAGAAATAATGTAATACTGAAATAGTTCAATATCAAATTATACTTAGAAGGTTATTATGATTTTTAGTTAGCTAAATCATCATGAGTTTTTGGCTACGTTTTAGATTTCGATTCGTTTTATCAAAAGTTTATGTAATCAACTCTAATAATCAAGCCAAAAGGAAAACGCCATTCCACCATAGAATATTTCGATAACACCACACCGTAATAACTGTCATCTCCATACATACAACGACATAAAGTAGAGTGAGCACAATATATTTGGGTGCCTCACTTACATATTCATAAACCTTGTACTTGGCTCAGTACAGCCCTTCAAGCAAAAAACTGTAGTCTTAAGTACTTCTAATAGATTCGGTTTTGCTACAAAAAATTGTGGTCCACTGTACATTTAACCTTGGCTTGCATTCCAGCATTTTCATTATCATGGTTTTCTCATGGTGTAGGGCGTATACAATATCTATGTACTCGTATACTCGTACTTTTAGGAAAGACTAGCTAGTCTGTCAGGCTTGGCGCTGTACCACTTTTAGTAAACGATTATGGGGCCACATTTTCTTGATAAACAACTAAGGCCCAGAACAGACGGTGAAACGCAACTGCAACGAAACTGCAACTGCTAGTTACTTTTGAGTTGCATCTAAGTTTCTGCCATAGCGTCCGTTGAGAGTTGAGAGATCGCACATGACACGATCAGTTTGAAACTTTCAGTTTCATTCATAAGAATCATCAGAAAGTTGCAGTTTCATTGCAGTTGCGTTTCACCGTCTGTTCTGGGCCTTAGGGACAAAACATGAGACCATCAGGCTTCCACAACCAGTTTGGCGTAGAGCGTGTAGGCCAAATTCTTTTGTCCTTGGAAAATTATACAGTCGTGCCATTGTGTGGAGAAAAAATAAGATCTGATGATGTTGATATTATAGAGGACCTAGGAGAAGAGCATATTTATAATATCGTTTATAAATAAAGATTATCTCACACATCACTTCACGATTTATCGGACTACAAAGTCAGTACGAGATTCACGGATTTGAATCCCTTAGTATTATAAAGTAACTGTCTGTCTGTTACGCTTTTACAGCTAAACCATTGAACTGATTTTGATGAAATTTAGTATAGAGATGGTTGGAATTCCAGGAAAGGACAGGATATTTTTTCTCAGTTTTTGAAACAGGGACGAGCGCAATAGAGTTTTTCTGTGACAGACAAATTTTCATGCGGGCGAAACCGTGGGCAAAAGCTGGAGATATAGAAATTTTACATTTACGATATTGTTATAGATTTTGATAAAGAAATTACTATTTTCATTTTAACGGCCTTTTCAAAGTCGCAAAAGCCCATTTTTCACAAAGGTCGTCCTACACGCTTGCCAAATTCAGCACTCAAGGACGCCCAACCTTACACCGAATATTATGGAAATAAACAAAATATTAAGCCATTCTAGGAAAAAACTTTATTCCCCAAGCCACGGAGAAAATAAAGATTCTTTGCTGTAACTAGTGAAAGTGGTGAACGATTCAATCATAGAAACAACTGTGTAAAGTTGTTCGTTACTTAGACACTTGCTTTAAAAGTACATTTGAAACAGAAAGAATCTAATCAATTACTTTGTACGTGTACATTTACTCTACATGTATACGAATCAAAAGTCTGTATTTCAATGTATTCCTAAGTACCCATAATCCCCATTTACTATCTATACCAATATTATAAATGCGAAAGTAACTCTGTCTGTCTTGCTTTCAGGCCTAAACCACTGAACCGATTTTGATGAAATTTGGCATAGAGATAGTTTGAGTCCCGGGAAAGGACATAGGATAGTTTTTATCCCGGTTTTTGAAACAGGGACACGCGTGATAAAGTTTTCCTGTGATATAAAAAATTCCAAGCTGGCGAAGCCGCGGGCGGAAAGCTAGTATTCTATTATGTACCCATTCTGCATGTTCAAATCTGTTGCTTCAGAAGACATTTATTAGTTTTTACTGAAACACAAATTGACGTCAGATAAATTTTATGAATTCGAATTTGATTCATAATATTGGATGTTGTTTCATAATGCAACATTGCGATGGATATTTTAGTAATTTCTTCGTTCACCTCGCAACGCTGTTTTTATATAACAAGACAAAATTAAGTGTCAATTTGATCGTAAACACGTTATATTTTATCGTAAAAGCGTTATTTATCTTTCAATATCAGGAAAATCGAGCTCAAGTAAATTTACAGAAACACTAAAAAACATACATGAAATCTATTGGGTTGGTAAATAACGCCAATAAAGTTTTTCACCTTGAACGGATAACAACGTAATAAGGTTAAAAATAAGGTGGGAACTATATTCCCTCTCTGTCTTATTAAGCAGTAAGCTTCTATGCTTTTCGTTCCCAGTGTTTTGATTGATGGTCGTAAAGATAAGTAGAGTTTGTAGGTAGAGGCTGGTTATGGAAAACATTGTGAGATAACCTGCTGCGAGATTGATCTATGGGGAAATGCTATACATAGATAAATAGGTAAACCTACGTATTTGCCCAAAAACTGACATCAATACAAAACCACGGTAATATTAACAAAACTAAAGGAACTTCGTTTGTTCGTTCGTTCGTTCGTTTCAGCCGAAAGACGTCCACTGCTGGACAAAGGCCTCCCCCAAGGATTTCCACAAAGACCGGTCCTGCGCCGCTTGCATCCAGGTACTTCCCGCGACCTTCACCAGATCGTCGGTCCACCTAGTGGGAGGCCTGCCCACGCTACGTCTTCCAGCTCGTGGTCGCCACTCAAGAACTTTCCTGCCCCAGCGGCCATCAGCTCTTCGAGCTATGTACCCCGCCCACTGCCACTTGATTTTAGCGATTCTGCGGGCTATGTCAGTCACTCTGGTTCTCCTACTAAAGGAACTTCACTGAACATTAAGGGCTTTTTCCCAAAGAGCTACAGCTAGGGACTGGAATTCGCCGCCTGCAGCTGTCTTTCCTGAACACTGCCGGGCCTTTTCAAGGTAAGAGTGAATAGGGACTTACAGGGGAGATATGAACCATCCTAGACTGCATCTTACTTATCACCAGGTGCGATTGCGGTCATATTCCTGCCCTGTCTTGCATAAAAAGGAGACATCCCGTTTTTTGCAGGACTATTTTTTGCTGGTTTCCCTGTTTTATGTTGGCACTTATCACAACAATCTATGATGTCTTGTATATGCTTAATCAGCTATGTCTGTCTAAGAGTAGGCGCACACCGTTGATTTTTCGTCGGCCGATAGTTTAGTCGGGCAGTTGATCAGTATGGGCATGTATGGGAGTGCGCACACTACGCCGATTCGATTTGGCCGATTCTTCATACAATTTAAAATCGGGCACAACTATCGGCCAACTAAAAATCAACGGTGTGCGCCTACTCTAAGCTTAATCAGCTTGATTTGCCATCGTTTGTACTTTTCATCGTAAATAAAAAACCATAAAGTCCTTTTTATAACAACCTATTTAATATTAACAGTGTTAACCTCTTAATCGCCACAAATCATCTATATAAAGTTTGTTTACACTTTAACAGTCTGTTCTATAAGCGGGAGTTAATTTGGTATTGTTATGGCTTCCATATTTAACTTTTAACGCAGTTAAACAGCTCTACGTTCTAATTTCTAGTTAATTTGTTTATACTTACCATTAGGTCAATAAGGACGGTTTTTAAGCCGTCGATTATCTTTTAACTGAAGAATAAAATTGTAATTTTGACATAAATTCCCGTACTAGAACGGTCAATGTGTCTATTCTTCGGTTAAAAGTTATCCGGCGATTGAAAAATTAGCCTTTAGTCATCTTAACTTTCCATTAAGGAAGAGAGAGAAAGGAAAAATTAAGAGAAAAAGAGAGAGAGAGAGAGAGAGAGAGAGAGAGAGAGAGTATTTTATGGTAAATATTTGCAAATCATAGAGAATGTTGAATATCTATGGTGGAAACATTCGCAATAGGTTGAGCTTACATTTTTTTCTCATGAATAATGCATTTCCACTTTATTTTCAAATTCAGTTAAATTTTTCAGGTCACTGATGTGTTAACCCTTTAGCTGCAGGGCCTGCAGGTGTAGAGAAAAATGTTTTTCATTCGATTTAAGCCTTGTGTTGTTTTACTAAAGTTCTGCCACCACAAGCTTAATATTGATGTTCGAATGATTCGTTATAAAATAATGTAAAACAGATTATCACCCTATTATGAAAAAAATGACACGAAATCAACAAATTAAAGAACCCTGGGCCCTTAAAATAGAAATTGCTAGAAGTTTCCGACAATAGAGCATATTTATCACAACAATCTAATTGCATTACGAAAATAGTGCCAGTACGTTACCTATTCGAATTGCGAGTCCCAAAATCCAAAGACAATCACTTTCTACGTTTCATCACTAACACTTAATCACTGGCCATTAAAAAAGTGTCCATAGGCTGAACAATACCGAGGCTATTTGTCACCGCACATTCTCAGGTCCCAACACTAGTAACGGACTAAAAATAAACATTTCACAAAACGTCACATCCAAAAACGAGGTTTTACCCAAAAAAAAAGAAAAAGTCAGGTTACTTTTCGGTAGCTAACGTTGCTGGCCGAAAAAATATGATAATGTTTTATTTTTAAATTGAGTGCTGGCCGGGCGCGCGCGTCCGCGGAAAGCGAAGCTCGAAATTCGAATTTAGGTTAGAATCCGCGGGTTATGGCGCCACGCACACATGCGCGCGCCGCTGTAAGGACAAGGGCAAAGATTAAAATAGACAAACAGAAAAATCACTACTTTCTGATCAAGTTTCAAGGGAAGTTTCGGTTTGAGTAAACCGTATGAAAGAAAAACGTTTTCATGTTATGACTTTGATTGAAATACTGAAAAATGATAAACTGTGAATAGTAGACGTTATTCTTTCTGATAGTAAATTAGTTTTTCTTTGTCTAATATGAGAGTAGGCGTCCACCTAAAACTGTTCATTGTCAGAATTAAAGTTAAACGAAGCTGGTATACAATTATCACAAAATGAGCACGCATGTCTCTTAAAATCTAGATCAAGCGTATACACCCTGTAACTCATTCCATGATTCTCACGAAAAATACAGTCTTTTCGTGTATATGTGTTATGTCTTCTTCTTCGACGCTACACTCTTGCCAGAGTGGTCGTGGTCCGCACACGTGGTTTGGTGGCAAGCTTCATAATCCGTCGCCATTCCTCCCGTATTGCAGCATTACTTGTACACTCGTGGAGTGGATCGTTGAGTATAGGTATTATACTAGATGTAAAACAATTCGCTATGGTGTCAACATGGAGTTTCTGAAGATGTTTAATCTTTGACTGGAACGCACACAGCCGCAGGGACTTCTGGCAGACTCCGTGGCTTTACGTAGCTCGCACTCGCCATAATACTGAAAATACTCGGATCGACCACGCCATGGCGGTACCAGTGGAAAACTACTCGATGCGAACTCGATGGAGCTTTATCTCGATTGTGTCGACTAAGGTCAACTAATGCTGAGTTGCACCATCTTTAACAAATTACTGAAAATATTTGGGCCGACCACGACATCGGCGGTACCTGTGGAAAACTACTCGATGCGAACTCGATGGTGCTTTTTGTCGATTGTGTCGACTAAGGTCAACTGAGAGCTTTATGAGCTTTCATCTCTGTTTCCTGCTCTCATCTTTCCCCAAAGCATTTAGTGGGACCAACAGGAACAGCTTATCGTTCTCTCCATCCAAAGCAAAATTCTATTTTTTAAACAGTTACAATAATGTCATTTTGAACATGAAAAATCATTTTGTATGGATATTATTATTCCATTTTCTTGTATTATTATTCCATTTTCTTCCCTAAACTTTGAATTTTAAACAAATTTCAATATCTAATTACTACATGTGTTATATCATTGGTAAGAAGAGAAGCTAGAGATGTTTTTAAGATCATTGACAATCCATTATCACCTTTTTTTTAATCGAATTCTAAGTTGATTTTTTATCGTGGTTTGTACTTTTGTTAAACTTTGGCGGCTCGTAACTAGCTATCGAATCATTATCTGGATCTAAATTTATTTTATTTGACTAAAAACATATTCGATATTACTATCAGAGAAAAAAAGTGGTTTTCTACACGCGAGAAAAAAAATAAGCAGTTTTCAGGTCAAATTTTGGAAAAAATTAAATAAAAACAAAAATATCAATTTAAAAAAAAAGTAACTTACTTAGGGTCAAATGGGCGAACTTGTATTCTTAATATGATCTTACCTATACACCCACGAAGTTTGTCTAACCTTCCGCCAAACAATCTTACCAAAGCACCCCGAGTTCCAATGGTACCCGCAAGCAGTGTTATCTCAAATCAGTGACTCAACTAATAGATCGGGAGATAGTTGTTGCAACTAACCGATCCCGTCCAATATATTTATTACACCTACTTGAGTGTTGGATCAATTTTTGTTCAGATTATGTTTATTTTTATCCTATTTTTTCATAACTAACGCCCGTACTCACAAGCATTACTATGAGGTCTCATAGTGCGCGTGAACGCACAGCGTGACAAACGAGCCAATCACAGAGCTCTATTCAACGCTGTGCGTTCGATTTGCTGCTTCACTTTCGTTTATGAATACAGGCGTAAATTCGTTCGTTTCACCCAAATGACGTCTACTGCTATACAAAGCCCCCCAAGGATTTCCACAAAGACAATTAATATGTACTAAATCTTTGTCAAAATTCAATAAAAGTCATTTAATTTCATTCATAGCCTAAAGATTTTCAAAACTAGTAATATTTTCAGTGTTTTAGAGAAGTTTTTCCGTTACGTTTATCGGTCAATGACATCGAATACCCTATTCTGGTACACCCATGGCACTATTTCAGTTTTTCATGGTGTGTACTAAGGGACACGCTCTGCCAATGCTTAGTGACTACCTAGGCTTGGCCGAACACGTTCGTGTGGGCCTAATTAGTGCTAAACATGTCACGTAATGAGCGAACATGTCATATTCAATACAATAGCTACGTTATATGTATAGCGACTGACATCTAGCTCAGCGTAAAACACGACCACAAAATGTCCACGTAAATTATTCTGATTCATTAAGGTTCCAATTTCAATGAAAAAGGTATTAAAATTTTGCACGTGACTATGCTACAGTCACGTGGAGTTTAATCTACAAAAAGGGGAATTTTCCAAAGCCGTTGATTTGACTTTTTTGTTTTATTCTAGCAACCACCCGCGACTTTATACACGTGGACCCCGTTTTACTCCCTCAGGGGTTGTTATTTTCTAAAAACCATCCTTGGACTTCAACGAATATAAAATAAATTGGTAAAATTGGTCCAAGCGTTGTTGTGTTATGCGCTTACCAACATATTTTGCGATTAATTTTTATATTATAGATTGTTGAGATTAGTTTACCTATATTATGAGTAGTAATAAATTAGTCAGCCAATATCAATACCTCCAATTACATAACCTTCCAATCTCCAATAAGCTGGGGGCCAGCTGAAAATCATTGCTTGTAAAAATTAATTCCCATAAAGCCCAATTTATAGTCAAAGAATGTAATGTGTCTTGTAGACTTGAATATACTCGTACTTACTCAGGTACAATGACTTGACATCCAATAAAGTAAATGATGAATCAAATTAAACCATCTTATTTCGTCAAAATCGTGTCTGAAAATGACAGTATGTTGTGTACGAGGCGTCGACAGCCTCGTGAATCGTCTTGAATAAATATGTTTTTCGCCACTCCACCCTTGGGTGTTGAATCATTTTGTTTGTTTCTCTTATTTTAGACGCAGCTCGCTACACACGCGTGGATTTGGACTGAATGGGATGGACGTATTCACAAATGACGAAGTAGCAAATCGAACGCACAGCGTTGAATAGAGCTCTGTGATTGATTCGTGTTCATCCACGCGCACTTTGAGACCTGAAAGTAATGTTTGTGAATAGGGGCATGAATGTCTTTGTAATAAGTATTTGAAATAATACAGACTGAATTTCAGTTTGTGAGGACTTTTTCAAAACTGTAAAAATTATGACAGATAGGAAAAGACTCGACGGATTAGCAAGCTGAAGTGGCAATGGGCAGGGCACATAGTACGCAGAACTGACGGTCGATGGGGCAGCAAGGTTCTGGAGTGGAGGCCGCGTACCGGAAAACGCAGCGTGCGACGTCCACGACCGACGACATCATAAAGGTAGCAGGAAGGCGCTGGACGCAGGCCGCTACCAACCGAGCAACATGGAAGGCATTGGGGGAGACCTATGTTCAGCAGTGGACGTCCTATCAGCTGAGATGATGATGATGATGATGAGGAAAAGTCTCGCTAGCCACAAGACGTTGCAGTATAAACTAAAAAGGTTTCAATACATTTTTGAAAATACAAATTCGAGCTAGGAATCAAATACGAAGTTTTGAAACAATAATTACCACGATAATACTCAACCTGTATACCATCAATATGCAATACTTTCTTTTTAATAGACAAATTACTGAGAAGTAATGAATTAAGGTGAACCAAAAGAAAAACGAAAACATTTAACTTAATAAGCAATTTATAAGCTTTCAGTATCAATTTATCTAATACTAGCTTTCTGCCCGCGGCTTCGCCCGCGTGGAATTTTGTCTGTCACAGAAAAAAAAAAATATCGCGCGCGTATTTGCTCACCGTTTAGACCTACCCTGGACTACGACAAACATTTTAAAACCAAAATCAGCTTAATCGGCCCAGCCGTTCTCGAGTTTTAATCAGACTAACGAATATCAATTCATTTTTATTTATATAGAAGATAGAAGATTATAAATCCGAAAGTAACCCTGTCTGTCTGTTACATCTGTATAGTTTGAGGGCTCGTACCGTATTCTCCTCTTCTACAGTATTGCAGGATCTAGTAATACAGTGTCCCGTAAAACTGGACTGTCGGAACACACATTATGTGTGTTTGAGATTCAAATTACAATTGGACATTGCCAACGGTGTGTTCTTGTGAATATTCAGTCATTGGAAAAAACACTCCTTGAAAGTTCTTAATAAATAATAAATAATAAATATTTATTTGCAAAAAACATGGTACAATTTTGTTATTACATATTGTGTAGTGTGAACATAGTCCAGTCATTACGTACATTCAAAAAAGAAAATGAATTTGCGCTTCTAATTTTTTAATATGTTGTAGGGGATACCTAGAAAAGCTTAACTTGAGATTGTCGACCAAGCTTTCCTAGGAGCTTTCGCCGCCATGTTGAAAAAAGGGGTAAAATTTGTTTTTCGGCAATAACTCGGCTATCCGATGAGACTCGAAAATTTTTGTAAGACACTTTTTGTAGCTTTCTTTGTGCTCTACAATAACGCCCGAACCATTTTTAGCGTATCATGCATCGTTATCGAGATATCGATCGATAAAGTCAAAAATTTTGGACACAAATTATTTCGGAATAATTAAATAATTAACGTCAGATACGTACAACATAACTTCGAAGGAAAGGTTGCAATCATATTCGACGGTTATCCGACTGATATGACACTCGCTGGAACGAAAACTTCGGAAAGAGTACGACGTTCGAGAAAAAACCAATCGCCGGAGTTCACATTCGATGAGACAACTACTCCAAAAGTTAGCCAGGAGAAGTTTCTCACAAGGGATCAAAACAAG